TTCAGTTACTTGAGATTCTTTTTTTGTGGTCATACTTGTAGCCCTAAAGTCAGGTTTTTTAAAAAATAAATGTTGATTTTAGAATAGTAATAGGTTTACAGAAAAGTTGTGAAGATGCAGTACAGAGAGTTTCTGTACACTCCACACCCAGCTTCTCCTATTAACATGTTACATTAGTATGGTACACCTGTCATGACTAATGAACCAATATTGATACATACATCATTATTAGCTGAAGTTCACACTTTATTCATATTTCCTTAATTTTTACCTCATGTCCTTTTTCTGTTCCAGGATACCACATTTAGTCATCATGTTTCTGTAGTCTCCCTTAGATCATGACATTTCCTTAGACTTTCCTTTTTTTGATTACTTTGACAGTTTGAGGAGTACTGGTCAAGTATTTGTTAGAAGGTCTTTGAGTTTGCCTGATGTTTTCCTCATGATTAGACGTGGGTTATGAGTGTTGGGGAGGTAGATCACAGAGGTAAAGTACTATTTTCATTGTATCGTTTCAGGGAACATGCTTATGTTCCCTGAACATAAGGCTGAGGTAGTGTTTGTCTCCACTGTAAAGTTACTGCTGTTTTCCCCTTTCCATACTGTATTTGGAAGAAAGTCACTATACACAGTCTACATTTAAGAGATGGGAGTCGGGGCGGGGGAGGTTTATGCTCCGTCTCCTTGAGGAGGAAGTATCTGCATAAATTATTTGGAATTCTCTTGTATGAGAAACAACTTCTTTTATTTAGTTAATCATGTATATCAGTATATATGTATGGATATTTATTTTGTACTTTGGGTTATAATCCAAAACTGTATTTGTTGTTCACATTGTTTCAGCTTTGGCTCTTGGGAGCTTCTTCATTTGGCTCCTGTATTCTTTGACATACCCCAGTCAATGTGGGGTTTTTTGAGCACTTCCTTATTTCATGTCCTCTAAGAGTGCTCCAGTCTCATCTTGTATATTCCCTACTCCAGCCCAGAATGAGCCATTTCTCTAAGGAGGCTTGGTTCCTTCTACTGGAAAATGGCATCAGAAACCAAGATCTGGGCGTGCTTGTTGCTACCGAGGTGTGTCTGCTTCCAGGCCCTCTTATCTGACCGAGCAAGGAATATAGGCATATACCAACCTGGATATATATATATATATATATATATATATATACATAACTATAAATATTTCTACATTTAACCATCTATATTTAACCATAAATATTTCTATATTTAAAAATGAGTACATACTGATGTTATCCAACCCTAATCCAACAGTATCACATGAACCATTTTAGCCTTCCCTGCTGCCTTGTCTGTAACTACCCACTCCAATAGTGAGAAACATGGTTCCTACCATTTCCTAGGGTCAGTTTTTCATTATGTATAAATATCTCACATCAGTTTACTTTCTTTTTGAAATTTCAAAGTAAATTAAATATATAGGCAAAATACAAATCAAACTATTTAAAATGTTGATTATGCTTTTTCAAACTCTATTTGATTCTTTCCTATTCAGATGCCCCTACAAGGGGTCAAATTTCCAGCACCATCTTTAAAATCATTAGTATCACCGTTATCAGTATCAACAAATGGTTATTGTGCCCCTTATATAGGACCATAAGCTAAGCTAGTTCATGTGGATAATGTTCAGGCAAGTCTTGAGGTGTGGCCCACCACTGATGCATGACAGATTTATATTACTCTCATACATGTACATCTACATTCATTTCTTAGATTCCATACCTTTTAGAAGTGAGAATATGGCTTATTGGAATTATTGTAACTTAAAACACTTCTCAGCATTCCAAATAAATTAGTACTTTTCAAGTTCCAATTCTGTGGTTATTAGCATTAGTAAGAGGGAAAGAAGGTTAAGTGATTTGTCTCTTGCAGAGTATGCGCTCAGTAAACACTCTTTATCTCCTTTAGGACATCTGATATTTATCTCAAACTCAACATGTCCAAAACTGAATTCCTAATCTTTATCTATAAAACCTGTTCCCCCTCACAGCTTTCCCCATCTCAGCAAGTCCATCATCTAGAACATAAACTTCAGTGCCACCCTCGATTCCTCTATATTTTACACCACACATCTGATGTGTCAGGAAACTGTGTTGACTCTACTTTCAGAATACATCCAGAAGCAGACAGCTTCTTACCATCTCTGCTGCTACCAGCGTGGTCTGAGTCTCCCTCTCTGTCTAGGTTACTGAGCAAGCCTCTAATGGGTGTATCTGTGTCTGCATCTGCCTTTGGCCCAGAGTAATCTTGACAGCCAGAGTAATCCTGGAAAAATGTCAGATCATGCTCAAAAGTCTACAATGGCTTTTCAGTTTCTCAGGATAGAAGCCAAAATACTTACAATAGCCTATAAATCTCCTATCTCATTACCTCTCTGACTTCATTTCCTTTCCCCTTCAAACCCTCTGCTTCATTTCCACTGGCCTTGCTGCCCTTCACACTTTAGGCATGATCCTGTTGTAGGGATTTTACACTGGCTTTTCCCTGTCTGCTTGGGATGCTGTTCTCTGGTATCTGGAGGGTTAACTCCAGCTCCTTCAGGTTTTTGCTCAAATATCACTTTCTCAGTGGAGCCTACTGTGGCCGTGCTATTTAATACTGCAGCCTAATCTGTACCCACACCATCCCCCATCCCTCTTATCCTCTCAGTTTTACTTTTTCCCATAGGATTTATCGTATTTTAGCGTACAATTTATTCAGTTATGCTTACTGCTTATTTTGTGTCTCCCCCAGTGAGAATCTGACCAGCACAAAGGCAGGGATCTTTGTTCAGTTTTGTTCACTGATGTATCCCAGTGCCTAGAAGAAAAAAATTACGTTAAATGAATAAATGCATTATTTGAGCTGTGTGCTTTCTGTATCCCAAAATTATTCTTAAATTAAAAAAAATAAAGGAAAATAAAGGAAAATGTAATTTGATGAAAAGGTGTCAGATGGATACATGGGCAAAGGGTTATCATTTATTTTTTTGGAGTATAGTTGCTTTACAATGTTGCATTAGTTTTTGCTGTGCAGCAAAGTTAATCAGCTATACGTATACATATATCCCCTCTTTTCTGGATTTCCTTCCCATTTAGGTCACCACAGAGCACTGAGTAGAGTTCCCTGTGCTATACAGTCGGTTCTCATTAGTTATCTGTTTTATACACAGTAGTGTATATATGTCAATCCTAGTCTCCTGATCTATGAGCCTTGAGTTTTAGATTCCTCATTTGTTAATGAGTATATATGATACATTATGTCAGAGGATTGTTGTGGTATTTATATAAAATGATATGCATGAGAGCAGTCAATAACCATGAATTAAGGGATTTCCCAGCTCCTGGGCCTATATAAAATAAGGCTTGAAGGCAAGGTACAATTTGTTGTAAGCCTTTAGGAGCTACTTACCCACTTCCTCTGTGATGTCCTCTGAAGATCTCCTTTTCTCTTAAGTTTGAAACGGTGAGCAGTTAAACATTGAGTATAGGAATAAAGCTCTGTGAATATGTTTATAAAGGTTAAAAAAATTACACTGCATCAGTTTTTAACAGGATTATTGACATCACTACCAATGAAGATGATTTGTAAACTTAGGATGGAGAGAACTGAAAATTGCTTAAAATGGGATGTTAGATGCATGCTTTTATTGAGACTGAATTTTGGCTCTACTACCCATTAAAAAAATGCAGTTTGTTTTCAAGTGCACATCAGCTGTTTAGTAACCTTACATGTCTGAATGTTCAGCACAGATGCACAATTTCCTTCTCTCCCCTGTGTAAAAAGGTACAAGTAACCTCTGTTTAAAAAATAAAAAAACAAACTTGTGGTTTCCATAATGTATCAATATTATCCACTTAATCCCCGGTACTATTTCTTTTCTCTAAAATACTAGCAACTGGCTCAGAAGGCAAATATTACTGGCATGGTATGTATCCCAGTTGGCCAAGCATTATAGGGAGTGCTAACTAGCAACGTGGAGCACCCTGTAGGCTGACTGAACACCAAAAAATGAGCATATCAACGTCCTGAGGATAACTGACTGATGTGGTTTAGGTCTATTTCTGGGAAATTAGCCCATGAATCTCAATGCTGACCTTTCATGTTATCTTTATGATTACATGACTTTTCCTTTCACTCTTTACTTTTCGACTCCGGACCTTAAACCTGGAATAGAGAAAGAGGAAGATTTTTATTGGTGGCACTAAAAAGTGACAAGATAAAGTAAAACAGGTTAACGTCAGTTAACAAAGGAAGCACAATAATTTCACCAAAGGTAGCAAGTATTGGCTACAGAGTATCCGTGCCACTGTTATTACATTTGAATCTCTTTGAAAATCATGAGACAGTCCTGGGTATCGTATAGCTGGGTCCTTGTGCAATGTATGCTTCTTTGTAAGGCTACCTGTGATTTATTTGCACTTAAGTTCCTTTCTTAGTAAGTTACAAAAAAAAATGAGCAAACTAGATAAGTTTGCATTTCAGTTTTTAAAAGTTCAGTTAACAGTAGTCAAAACATGAAAGCCAAGTAAATATCCAGTAAAATTCTTATCTCTAGAAGCCGACTACAGGAGCTATTAATCACTTTTAGGTCTTTCTTGTTACTGGATGTATGTCTCTTTTGGAGACCACTGAAATCTATGTTCATGGGATGTTTCAAGTCTGAGCCAGTGTGGTTCATACACCACCTGTGTGCTCCCTACACCACCTGTGTGCTCCCTACACCACCTGTGTGCTCCTACTGCCTAGCACCTGACCTGTCCGTCCTGGGGCTGGAGAATGGTCCTTGGACTGCTCCTCCGAAGAAATGTGCTTGAAACTGTCCTGCTGATACGCTGTGTTCCTGTCCTGTGTCTTTCTGCAGACTCAGATTGTGTCAGATTTTGGCCTGTTGAGTCTCACTACTTCGATCGTCCTGCTGAACCCAAAGCACTGTGTACTGTCATTAAATATTTAACATGAAAAGTATGACAACAACTACTAATTTTTCCTTTGTTTTTCAGAAATGTGTTACAGACGAGTGTTTCTTTTTTGAACGACTGGAATCTAATAACTACAATACTTACCGGTCAAGGAAATACTCCAGTTGGTATGTGGCACTGAAGCGAACTGGGCAGTATAAACTTGGCCCCAAAACAGGACCTGGGCAGAAAGCTATACTTTTTCTTCCAATGTCTGCTAAGAGCTGATCTTAATGGCAGCATCTGATCTCATTTCATATACCTCATGAAAGAAGAGGTATATTTTAGAAATTTGTTGATGAAAGGAAAAGAAAAATGTATACAGCTATCTGCTCAGTTTACGTAACTGGTCAGATAACCTTTTATCTAACAGTAAAATATTTAACCATTGCCTTAGTAAAACAACAACAACAAAAATTCCTGGAAAATGCATAGACTTCCACTTTTTATATAGAATTTGCCTTTATCCAGTGAAGCTTACTTACAGCTACAATCTTTTTCATACATTTGCTTCATTTGAAAAGAGGCTTTTAAAATGTGCATACGTACAAATAAGTTTTCTTCACAGAAATCATAGACATTAGAAAATTTAAGTCAGATGTTTAGTTAACCCAAATGTCCACTACTTCTTATAATACGGCACACGTTAATCTACAGGTACAATTTACTTAAACATTTTAAAACCATGTAAATATAAATCTAATCCATGCCTGTCATAGTTTTATAACTGTCTGGCAGTTCCTTGTGATAGATTTTATAGAACAAGCCTGTGTAAACTGCTGGAAGTTCTTCCATGGTCAGATCAATCTTGTCAAACCCTTCTCTGTATCCATACAGCAGCAGCCTAGCAACTCTGCTGGTGATCGGAGTTGTATTTTCAGTCTTGACTAGGTCGCTGAGATCCATCCACTCACACCTTAAGCATTCACGCTGGCAAAAATTTATGGTGAATGAATATGGCTTTAGGCGGCAGATAATATACATATCTGACTTTCCAAAAGCTCCAGGATGGGTGTGCTGTTGCCGAATACTCAGGAGGGACCTGAATTCTGACTTTATACCAGTCTCTTCAAAAACTTCTCGAACTGCTGTATCTCCTACATAGAAGAAAATGTACAAATCAATAAGGATCACATTTTTAGGAATTTAATCATCAAAGATTTTCAAGAAGCATTTTCTAAATGCTCAAAAAGCACAATTTTACCCTAAGAAAATAAAGTTTTCAATGTAAACTCTTTGCCTAACTGGACATCCTGAAGTACTGAAGTATTTTCTTACCAATGTATATCTAAGAAGCTTTTGAAATACTGAATATTTCTTTGGCTGCTACTTGCAGGCTTACCCACTTATATATATATATATTTTGGGAGTCACATTTTAAAAAATTCTTCCTGCTTTATTTCCCCAGAGGTGAAAACATAGGTTGCAAAGCTGCAGTTAATATTCCTACGTATTTTTTCATTATTATCCTGTTCCTGATTACCCATCAAAGCTGCCTAAATTTATAAACATCAGAATTGAGAAAAAGTGATCCACTCTTCTTTATAAAAGTCTGGAGAGCTACAGAAGGTACTGAACTATGAAATGATTCAACTCTCCCCTGGTCTCTGCTGGGACTGTCAAGCCTCTGAAGTCATAGAGCTGTGAGTGGAATCCCACCATGGTTAATTTTTGGCATTTTCTTTGTTTCCTGCATTTCAAAGAGCTTGGATTCATTCCTCCAACAGCAAAATGCTGCAGTCATTTCATCAGAAGTTTTCAAAAAACTTGCAATTTACAGAATTTTATAATACAACTAGGGTTTTCGCATTTTATAAGGTTGATTTTTCAATAATATGCAAATTTCTGGGACAGGATTTTTATTGCCAATAACTTATAGATGAAACTCCTACATGGGATTTCTCTAATTTTATGATGCTCTGTCATTGTCTCCCAAAGTGTTTTATGAGAAGCCCCTAAAAAAGCTGCCTTCCTTGCCTATTTGCTGGGAAGCTTCACAATTGCCACAGGTACAAATTTTTGTTCAACTACCCTTTAATGCCTCCATTTTCTTGTTTGTCAAATTGTCAATTATATTTGTCTTCTTAGTAGTCCTACTAGTGAGGAATAGGCAAGGAAGAGCAAGTGGTTGAAAGAAAAAAAAATGTCTCAAATGTTTTTTCTGATAAACAGCTCTGGAAATATGCACAAGAAAAGTGTTTAATATATAAGACGTTTGTCTGCCATACTTGAATTATATGTGGACTTCCCTTATAATTGAGATTTGCCTTAGGTCAAACATGGTTAGAAATTATATTTTTAAACTGAAAACATAAAAGAAGAATTTATATGTTAAGAAAAGGAAAACTTGCCTTAATAAGAAAGCTAATTTTTAGTAGTATACATGTTTATTAAATTTGTTAAAGATTGTGGCAGTAGTCTTAAATTTTACATGTCATTTGCTGATCTGACTTAAAAATTGTTTAAATGTTTATTTTTATTCTTTAAACACTTTGAAAGATGACCATGGGGGTCTTGTTTAGCTTTTAGCAACACTAATCAAGAGTTTGGCATTTAGTTCCTGAGTCTGGCCTGTTGGTGTGTTATGGAATCACAGGACAGGGCTGGTGAGCGAAATCTGCCCTGCTCAGCAGTCACCACAGCAGTTGATTCAAAATTGGTGCTGCCTGGGTAGTTTGATCCGTTTAATTTGAATCCATGATATTGACTAGACTAAAAACTGAATGGGCAAATAAGCGCTTTTGTATCTAGAAGAACCCCTTCCATCTTAAGATTGAAATCTCTTCTCCAAAGATTTTACCATGAATTTAAAGATTTTTCTATCTAGATAAAGTGCTTTATTCTCCTGTACCTTTATTATTTTAATGTACTGTAAGCTAAATTGAAATAACTGTTTTATAGGTTTGAAGAACATAGGAAAAACCAAGAGGGTTTTGTTTTTATTTTTGCTGGTTGAAAGATATGTTTAAAAACGTCATAGTGTTTTGTTTAAAGGACAATAATGAAATGGAATTTATATTTGTTATTTCTATTTTCTAATATTTAATAGAATTAGATTGAAATAAAAGGAAAAACTGTGCAGAATATGGGTTTTTCTGGTGTTTGTTTCCCTCTGACTCTGGTACACTGATGAATTCTGATCAGACCCCCCTGCTTTAAAGACCTTTGGCTATGCAGGGATGCTCTTCCTGTCAGTGATAATGAGATTTTTTTCAGGAAGGCAGCTTCTCCATCTTTAACCTTGTACATGTATTGTACTCTTAGGGTATTATATGAAAACCTAAGGATTGCATTCTATTTTGTATATGCCCCCTTAATGTTTTTCCTTTTTTTTTTTTAAGCACTACGGACAATAGTGCTTCATTTACCTAGTAGTATCAAAGAATGAATGATTCCAAACACATGTGCTTCTCAGTTAACTACTGTTTACTGCTTAAGAGCCAATATGAATGTTTGCACATTTGTGATGGCAGTATACCTAAAGTATATTACATACTTTACTAAAAACAGAGCTTAAAGAAAATAATTTAAATAATTCCTGGATGATCTGGCTTCATCATTAAGAATAATCTACTATTGTACTGTTACAAAATAGAAATGCCCTCTATACATAGTCTTCCAGATCTCTACTGTCAGTTATCATTTCTAGCTGCTTTCAGGGTTTTATCAGTTCTGAGGCAAAGCTTCAATTTATACTACTCCTAGGTAGTGTGGTGAATGCCAATTGCTGCTTTTTTCTTACTTCCACATGGTGAGGTGTATATACGATCTCTGAATAGGTGGGTTGTTGTGACAACCACAAACACACAAAAAAAGTAGTGAATTCCTAATAATATGGACTTGAAGTGTTCTGGAGTACACTCAAACCTACAATTATACACATTTGGCTTGGAAATATGTTTCTCCATTTAAATATATCTGAAACTCAGACTATCCATAAAAACTCAAATGAGAAAAGTCAATTCCTTTGAGAAGGCAAGACTCAGAAGAGGAAGCTACACAAACCTTCTCCTGTAGACTGCTGTTTGCCCAGTATCAACTGGATGAGGATGTAAAACATAAACTTAACTAGTTCACATGATGTCATATCACATAAGGATAGTGTGAGATAATCAGGAGCTCTAGAATAAATGCCCTTCTCTTTCAACACTTGCACCACTACAAAATCCTTTTTATTTCAACAGAAGGCCTAGCAAACTCTAAGCAAAAGGTCAGTAAGTACCTAAAAAACAAAATTTGCTATGGATATATCTGAATGTAGTGAATTTACTTATAGGATATTAGGAGTTGATTCTATACTATGTATAGGGCATTTTTAATTTGTGGAACATTAAAAAAAATCGTTTCAACTATATATATATATTTAAAATACTTAAAAATAATTTAGGACATTGCCTTCATATAAATGATGGCTAAAGAGACTAGGGGACATACATATTGAGGAAAAAGTCATTGACAAATAATACTGATATGAAATGAGTTGATTTATTATGATAGGGACTGCACTTGACCCAATGGTTTAAGGAATAGGTAGGAAAACTCAGTTTCTATTCTTTCCTTCCTGTAAAATCCTGACATAATGAGCTCAGTAAATTGTTTTAGGAAGTTATCTCTCATTTCAGACTTTCTCATTTGAGACATTTTACTATGCTTTGGCTTTCTGACTATCCAAAATAAACAGTAGATAAAATTTTCATAAACAGAAGAATTATGTCACCACTGTTCTATAATTGACTTTATAAATAATTCTTATTTCACAATTTATTTAAAAGTTACTCTTCATCCTTGTGTGATAGAATGCTCAAGAATTTGTTTTATCATAGTTTAATTCCAACAATTTTAGTTATATTCAAAATAACCCTTAATGCTAAACTTGACTGATGTACATCCAAAGCTTTTCATTTTCAAGCAAATTAATCTAGAAGCAGTCCTAAGCAGAAAAACAGGTGTTATGCTCCTAATGGTATTATTTATAATAATGAAATAAGTTGTAATATTAGAAGTTTTGCTGCTAATTTTATATCATCCCTGAAGTAACTTCACTGAAATTTTCTGACTTAGCCTAAACCAATTAGAAAAGTTAAAATCTTATTCTCAGCTCTACAGCAAGAAAGTAAACATATGAATTTCCTCAACATTTTCAAGTCAATTAAAGATATGTAATATACACACCAATATCTTCTCCAGGCTCTGACAGGCCTCCTGGAAACTTCCACATATTTTTCAACTGCAGTATAAAATCAGAAAATAAAGTTAACATACCTTTTATTCACAAACATACACAAACACACACGGATGCCACAAAATTTACTTATAATTGGTCAAGGTGGTTGAGAATTTATTTTTTGGTTAATTATACGCAAATTTTTTTCAGCTTCACTTCCTCACGCCTCCCTTCTTTTTAGGGATAACTGGTGACTTGTGAAACCTTTTCCCACCTTTTTCTTCAGGAACTAGAAGTGGTTTTGTTTGGTTAATGTGATAAATTCTGTATGAGTGAAACAGTGGGGGGGGAACATCTACTGAATTTGTGTAGTTAAAAAAATTTTGCTGCTAGTTTATTAAAAAATAGAGGAATCTTACTGATGCTGCTATAAATAAGTAGAAAATACAGTATAAATTTAATCACTAAAGTATGCTACTTTTAATTTTCACATTTACTTTCTGTATTGTGTCTAATCAGATATGTTCATCTTAAGATTTCTTTTATTCTCTGTGTTAATGATTTTATGTACAAATGTAACTGCTTTTCATGGGAAGTGTGAATAAAATTGATTAGTTTAAGTTTGTGGCTTTTTGTATATCATTTCTTTTTTTGATGGGGAGGGGCAGGTGGGAAGATCTGATCTAGGAATGGGGATAAATGTGGAAAATTTATTTTAAATAATTCTGCAGTGACATGGGACAATATTCTTATGGCTGACACGATTATTTTTTCCTGTTAGGATTCTGTTGTACCAATCCATCACCATGATAAAAGCTGAAGAATGAGAAATTATGACATCCTCATAAAGGTACTGCAGCTTGGAGCCAGTACCCCTCATACTCTTCATTCATAAAACAAGTTTATGGACCTTTACTGGTGTGCTTTGTGACCCACTCATTTCCTGCGCAAGAGCTTCTTAAAGAATGTGTCATTTCCCAACTATGCTAGGTTGGAGCCCAGTGGCATGGTTCCCAGAGTTGCCACAGACTTGATTATGTGGGTACAGAATTGAGGCTTACCACCCTTCTGTGTCTGGCTCAGACTTGAGATTAATTTATAAAGCATATTATGTTTTACTTTTTTAATGTAGAAATATATCTCTTAAGAATATCTCAACATTAAATGTACTGTCTTTGGGGTTCCATTTTGAAATTGTTCCAGAAGCAATGTTTCTACAAAAACTATGCAGTCTTTTGTCTGCTAGTATATTAAACTTCACCACCATAAATTATTTCTAACAAAAGATATTATAATAGGGCAAACAATTCTCCAAAACAAAGTCAACTTTTAAAAATCTTTACCTAGACCTGATTATAAATAATTGGAAACTGTTGATTATTTGGAGATAGGAACTTATTAGAAGGGGAAAATGCTAGCTATAAGGATTGAAAACAGCTCACACACATTTGATTTTGATTATTTCATAAACCTTAGGTATGGAAAGATTATTTTTATGCTGGTGATTAGTTTGCGATATTTTCTGGCATCAATTAGGTTTAAAGAGCTTATTTTAAAACAGCTTCCTCCTCCTCCCCAAAAGCTTGAGCTTACAGTTAGTTCTAAGTGGTAGGTTGAGAGGCCAAAGTTTGAAAAACCTGGTTCATATTGTAGATATGATAGATCAGTGGAGGGACAAGTAGGTCTTCTCACTTTTTTTTTTAACGTTAAAAAATACTCCCACTAGCTGGTTTTAGCAATATAATAAGTAATAATAATAAATATTACTAGGTAATGTATATTGAATGTCCACCATGTTCCAGATACTATGCTAAATGCTTTAATTATACACATTTAAACTTTATAGTAACCCCACAAGAAACTATTACTGTTCCATTTTAATTTTTTTCCATTTCTTTTTTTATTGAAGTATAGTTGATTTACAATATTGTGTTACAGCAAAGTGTAAAAGTGTACAGCAAAGTGATTCAGTTATACATATATGTTTTTCAGATTATTCTCTATTACAGGTTATTATAATATACTGAATACAGTTCCCTGTGCTATACAGTGAATCCTTACTGCTTATTGTTCCCATTTTAGAAGTGATGAAACTGAGGACAAATAGGTTAAATAATTTACCTGGAGTGGCACAGTGTGTAGCAAAACTCACAGTTAAAATCCAGGCAATCTGATTCTAATCATCTTTTAAGAAATTTAAAAAGTTGGTTTGCTATTTTCATACTAATTCTTTACCACTATTTGCTGCTTTTTCGTATATCTTTCGATCTTCAGATCTCATTGGAACATTCTATATAAACCCAACCAGAATCTGTATCCTAGTCTTACATTCCTCCAGGGTTTGTGAATTTGAACTAAAACCTAGTTTGGTATCAAACGTCTTTGTATCTACCTCTTGCCTGTGAGTTCCCTATCAAGAATCGTTTGATTGGCATGAGATTTATTACTCTGCTAATGATTTACTACTACTCTGCTAGTGATTTACTGTTACTCCACTAGTGATTTGCTATTACTCTACTAGTGATTTACTATTACTCTAACACTTCCAGTATATTGTTTCATAGGGGAAAAATTACTGAGGAAGGGGTAAGGTTGGGTTTTGAATATGAACAGTAACCCATAGTTTCTGTTTTCATCCTTGTTCTCCCTTCCAATAAAAGACAAAACATCTCTATGCTTCAAGTGTAAAATTCCAAGATCCTTTTCTCCCTAATCTTAAAAAAAGGAACTTTCCACTCTCTTCTAAAAGAAATACTCTACTCAGACATTCTCTTGCCTCTTTGCTTGTTGGGTCCTACCCAACATTCACATATATGACCCCTCCCTGCTTTGAGTTAGTCAGGTCATCTAGTTCCTGAAGCATATCTGATCTGATTTTTACATACTACAAAAGGCAGTTATCCTTTTAAGTTATAAAAATGTGTGATTTTTTTTTTTTTTTTTTTTTTTTGCGGTACGCGGGCCTCTCTCTGTTGTGGCCTCTCCTGTTGCGGAGCACAGGCTCCGGACGTGCAGGCTCAGCGGCCATGGCTCACGGGCCCAGCCGCTCCGCGGCATGTGGGATCTTCCCGGACCAGGGCACAAACCCGTGTCCCCTGCATTGGCAGGCAGACTCTCAACCACTGCGCCACCAGGGAAGCCCCAAAATGTGTGATTTTAAAGCATACTCAGAGTAATTCCAGCATATTGTAGAATGGTGAATGTGATGATAAATTTTTCCTATACGTTTGCCAATTATAAATCTGATGTGTTTGTGTGTGCACGTGTGTGTTTGTAGGTGTGAGTGTAAAACAGAAGAGTGTGTAAATGATGTACAGTGGTCCCATCAATCACTGGAACCTCTTTCCTTCCTCGGTGTTAGGAACTGCTAGCCCCAATAGTAAGCATTTTGGATATCAACAAAGGGTATTATTTTTTTAATGCATTCTTCATACTAACAGAGTGTAAGATATTTTCTGTTAAGGCAATTTCAAGTTTAATACCACTGTTTCTTATAAAACCTATCCTGAAGATAAACTCAAGTTTATCTTAGCGTTTCTAGAATGGGTAAATAGGAATGGCTCAGTTTCTGATCCTTTTTCTCACTATTTTTCCAACCCCACAGACATCTTCTGTTTTCCTAAGCAGATGATTCGCTTCAGGATCTTCCCTGGGTGTGGCTGCTGCAATCCTAACTAGGGATTTGTATAAACAGAACCCCCCAAAGACTATCAATTTCTTTCAAATAGAAATTGTCTAATCTCAAGAACCTAGAACAAGGGTACAGACTTGCTAGCCTCTTCCTTTTGGTTCTTATATTATTTGACTTTATCATTCTTCCCTAACTCAAACTTGGTCAGATGCCTGAGATTTCATTATCTTTTCTTTTCACTGTTCTGGTCTTTAATGCTACTACTCTCACTCTTCAGAATTCAGAGCCACTGTGTTTAGATAAATCCAATTAACTACAATATTATCACTGTTATGCGACAGATGCTACCAGAGATGTCTTAATAAGTTTGTTCATTCATTCAATAAAAATTTACTGAGTGCTAGGTTTAGGGCATACAGAAAATTAATGCACAATATAGCAAGGCTAGTCATTCTCTTTCTCCTTATACTACTGTATTTTTCTTAATAACATTCACCATCACTTTATATATTATTTATTCATTCGCTTATTATTTGTATCTTACCTATTTGAATATAAGCTCCAGATGTAGAAACTTTGTTTTGTTCACTAATGTTTACTTAGAGCTTAAAACAGAGCCTACAACATAGTTATGTACAGGAACTCAGTAATGTTTGGCAAATGAATGAATAGGTCCCTACCATTAACTCAGCTCTTTAGCACCTGGTTTACAAGGTCAAGCCACTGTTAGGTCTTTTGTTCCTCAAAATCATGGGGCAGGGACAAAGGAAGGGACTATATGGGTAGGAAAGGAGAAAGGACATGTTTTAAGTATTTCAGCTTTGAGTCTGAGTGTGCATTTGCTCATGCAAAGAAAGGAGAAAAAATGGCTCAGATGTCTGAAAATAACGCTAATTAGTTATTTACAGCTAATACCTATCATTTATGCTTAAATTCCACCTAACACCAAAATAATTACAGAAATTTTATGATTTAGTCTCACTTTATACTTTTTATTACATTGAGCTATACATTAATACTGTTTTTATATTTTATTGCTCTGTTAGATAGATCTCTGTTCATAACTTAAATCAAAACCCTAAGTAAGAGTATCACTTCTATTTAATTCACAAAGAAACCAAAGTCTTATATAATTTGAATTTGTTTCTAGCTTCTGCCAATCCCAACTGCCTAGAAGCACGGTGGGGATCATGATTAGGTTCTGAGCAGCAGTACTTTCTCTTAAAGAACCAATCACTGGCAAGACTGAAAATCAGCAAATGAAGAATCTGGATGCCCAGTGTTCTAGTTTGGAGGTTCTCAAACTTGACCATGCACCTAAAACACCTGGAGGGCTTGTTAACACACAAATTGTTGAGCGGCATCCCCACAGTTTGATTCATCAGGCCTGGGGGTGGGGCAGGGGTGTGAGAATGTGTGGTTTCTAAGAAGTTGACACTATGATTGTCCCTCAGCTTCAAATTCAGCCTCCGTGCTCTGCCTAGTGATGCTGGAGCTGGGACTCTGCTAAGCAGTTTTGGTCTTGCCAACTGACTCCCTGTTAGGCTCCACCAACAGACTGCAAGGCTGGAGGAGGAAGAAGGGAGCAGCTCCTCCTGTCTGCTTCCTGTGGGCTTCCCATGTGCTTGTGGTTCCTGTATTGCCTCGGCATGCTGCTTCATTCTGGCAGCAGCAGTTCCTTCCCATAGCAACAGCCAAATCCACTTTGCAGTTTCCTAGCATTTCCAACATGAGCTTCATTGTGTCCCCTCTCCAGAGACACCGGCCAGCTGATGCTGGGTCCCAGGCCCTCTGAGTTCAGAGACATCAGCAGCTGAACAGCATTTCTTATTAGAGATTTGATTAGCTATGTGCAGTCCCAAATGAAGGGATGCACAACCTACCAGAATAGTATAAAGATTACCTTAAACTGAAGACATATGAGATACAGCAAGATGCAGAAAGAAGCCTTTTCTGAGATTCCCTTTATCTGATTAAAGGTAAAGCTTTCTGAGGACAAAGCTGCCGTAAATCCTTTCTGGGGAGCTTCCAGCCAGGAAGGAAACTAACCTTCAGCACCTGGTGAGAAACTGCATACACAAACTTTATTAGAAGCTGCCATAACTTCTAAAATTACTCTTTATATCCTTCACTTAATCATGTCCCTTTTCTCCATAATAATTTTTCTTCACACACTTTTGTTCTAACCTCTTTTTTTTTTCTTTAGGCCAAATATGTACTGTTTAAGTATCATCGTTGGCAACTGAACTGAATGGAACTGTCAACCTAAACAATAGACAGTGGCATCTGTACTATGTATTAAAAAAAGCGAAAAACTACCTCCCTAAAAAACAAACCCCATTCAAGTGAAGTCTTTTGTATCCTATGCAAAGTATGATAGGCATTGCCATAAAACTACTGACTCCCTCAAAAAAATCCAAGTTTTAATTCCATTTATGTTTTCATCTGCTTTAGTTTAGTGAAAAGATTCCTCTCTAGGCTTAAATTCTGACTCTGCCAATTACCAGTTGTGTAATGTTGAAAAAGTTACTGCAACCTCTCTCAAGTTTTTTTGAAAAATGGAGATAATAACAAATACCATTATTAAATAAGAAAATTTCTGCAGAAGTATTTTGTCATCACAATTATCATTATTTATCTGATTTTATTTCTATTAAATAGCAAAACGATGGAATTAAAATAATTTTGTTTAGCCTGAAAACCTCATCAATTAGGATCACGAATGTGTACTATGATAGGAGAACAAGTGACTTGGAGAATGGTCGAGTGTTAGCAAATGTTTGGTTATGAATTTTTAGTAGGCTAGAAGCCATAGCAGAGCTGGTGCTACACTTTACTTGGGTTTTTAATCCTCTTGAGATATGGCTGTTGGTTCCAAGAGACATCAAATAAACCATTTAGGAACCTATCTAGGGTTAATTACTCAAAAGTCCCCCCAGCTTAAGTATGACCTTCAATTGACCCTAAAGGCAACTGACCCCCAAAGGAAACTTGAGGTGGAGGATTGAAAACTCTCCACTCACATCTTTATAAGCCCATGTTACAGGATGAAGAATGGCTAAAACAATGCCACTGTGGATAGGTCTCTTGGAGTTTTTGTTTAGTCATTAAATCTTGGGTCTCCCTTTGTTTCCTGACTACCTTGGAAAATACTAACAAACATTCCAGAAAACATTAGCAATTATTTCTTTGAAACTAAGATGAACAAAACTAGAGAGGCACTGAATGCAATCACGATTAACTGAGAATCATAAAAGTTTTTAGTCATTTACAGTGGAGTTTAGGCAAATTTAGTATACATAGTTTTGACTATTGCCCTGTTTTAAAAATAAAGCTCAATTCAATTCTTTCCTTTTCAATTGCTGCAATACAGATTGCTCTGGAAGTTTGATTTCTGCAAACTAAAGCTGTTAAATCATTTGTCTTGGAAGGTTTTATAAGGGGAAAAAAAAAAAAACCATCCCCAAAACATCACGCTGTCTAGGTTTGGAGTAAGACAGGTTAGCCATAACTGCCAGGGAAGCTCCTTCTTTTCTTTTTTTCAGACTGCAAGCCAATTTTTAATATTATTAGTTAGACCTAGGTTTGTTCTCTATGAATTTCCATGTTTTAATAAATGAGTAATTACATAAATAGATTCTTAGTTGGTTGATCCACCAGTCCTGAAAAACTGCTCAGAATGGAGCAATCACATTACTCTGGCTGTCTTTCAGTCTCTGTCAAAGTCCTTAATGAAATTTTATTTGATAAAGTCACTTACGACACAGCGTGCTCTTTTAAAATCTTAAAAGTTTACCCTTTTCTTTCCAAAATACCAAAGTGGTTTAAACCAGGTTATATCTGGTATCTTATCTTACATGTGCATAAGTGTATAGGGAGAATTATAGTATTGGGATATTTCATTTGTGATCATCGAATCTAACTCCTTAATTTCATAAATGGGGCAACTTAGGTTCCCAGGGGCTCACAGATTTGCCCAGAGTTGTATAGCTAGCTAATGGCAGGGCCAAATCTTAGAACCCAGGTCTCCTGATCCAATTTTGTTTGTACAACTTCTTATGTCACCTGAGCGTAGAAAAAATTAAATTTTGGTGATACTGTTGCTTCTTTAAATGCAAGAAAAAGACAGTTAAAGGGATACACTTAAAAGACAGTAAAACCTTTTATAATATCTTTAGAAGTAACTTTTATATACTAAGGTATAGATTATTTTTCCAACTTAGCAAAAGAAATTAAACAATTTATGTTACTTATATATACTTGTATACCATATATATATGGTATCTGCCAATAATGTTTGGGCATATCATCTCTCTGCCATACTGCAGAGTTATAATATCCACTTTCAGTCTAACCCAATTTAATTGAACAAAATCCTAAGTAAGTTTTCTCAGACCTTGGGTACTAAATATTATATATTAATACAACCTCCTTTGGCCTAAGGGTAGTTAAGACCTGAATGATAAAATAGTAAAATAATGACTACGGGAACTGTTCTTTTGTAGGTTAGAGTAGGGTAAGATAAGGACCATCTGGTGTTCCTCATAATTTCAAGGCATGTAGGGAAATAGCTGTATGTCTTTGAAATCCTTACTTGATGCTTGGAATTGAATGTGGAGAGAATCAGGGCTTATCACTCTCACATGAAATGAGTTTACTTAGGTTTGGGCTAATTTTTTTTAAGATTACAGACTCTAAAATTAGATTGGTTTTACTACTACGTTATCTGCATAATTTTGGGTAAATAGCCTCTCTGCGTGCCTTTCACCCTATCTCCAATTTCTAGATCTAGCAATTTACCCTATGGTAAAAGGGTAAATAACATAGTATAGTGATAAATAAACAGAGTATAGCTGTCCATATATCATCTTCATCACTGTCACCTCAATCAAAATCTTTCAGTAAACAAAATCTGAATTGTTTCTATGTCAAATCTAAACTCCTCTTCCTGGCTCTCAGGCCCCCTCATAACTAGGCCCTATTTTTACCATTCAGTCTTGCTTCCTACTCACTCTCCACTCATTACCATCAAATATACATATACATATATATATATATATGTACTCCAATTCAAATATAAAACTTACTGATGGCTAGGCACAATACTACTTTAGGTACCCAATAAAAATCTGTTGAAGATAAAGTTTAGTTTGAGTCACAGATCCTGCCTTAACTAAAACTTTAACGTTACTTAATACCATGAGAGTGCTTTCAGATAGCATTTCTGAGAAATGATTGATACTGCTTTCAGCTATAATTATGAATATTAGTTTAAAATTTAAAAACATATATGAGGAGAAAAATCTATGACTCTATCCACCAATATTTACTGAAGTCTCAGAAAGTATCAAAGTAATTATTCTCGTCACTTATACTCCTGAGCATGAAAGCATCTGACCTCTAAGCATGGTACTTCTCTTAAAAACTTCTGTTACTTCTAGTTGCCTATAGTTCTTATTTGGGTGTATGAGGCTCTTTAATTCTGTTCCCAATCTAGCTCTCAAACCAAATATTTTACCATTCCCATCTGTAAAGGAGAGACGGTCCATACAGGCAGACGCTTGGCCCGGGGAGCCCCATTGCCTGCTGGGAAATCTGCTGAGTCAGATAGAGGGGCTGGAGAAGCCTAGACTCTGCTTGTGAGGAGTGTGTGCATGCTGGCTTGCTAACAATCAGGGCAAAAAGAGACCAGCACTGGCGGATGCCGCCTTGCCACACTTCCCAATCCGGAGGGGTGAACGCCTGGGTCCCGCTTACTCCACACCTCAGCCTGGTGTGAGATAAGGGCAGAGATTCAATCTAGCTGCGCATACAGACTGGGCCGCCTGAGGTGGATCAGGGCCAAACTGCAGAGACCACTGTCAGTGCACACATGCGGGTGGTGGATCAAACTGAGCAGACACTGTCAGTGCTGCACCGGGCCGTGCCACAATTACGTGCAGTGGCTAACTGCCAAATCTCCAAGTCCCTGGGAGAGGACTCGATATAGCTGCACAGAGACAACTTGAAGAGTCTGAGGTGTGGTCTGGGGAGAACCTCGGAGCCTGTGGTAGGTGTGTGGACAGCAGGGGCAGGTCGGCTGCAGCAGACTTGGTCAGCGCATGCATAGGTGGTGCCATAAAAAAGCAGAGTGGCTGGATGCTGCGTCTTGAGCAGACAGGCCCTGGGCAGGAGTACGCAGTGGTACGTTTCCCGTGGGAGTGCTCTGGCTCCAGCTCCACCCACTTCGCACTGCAGGGTGGAGCTGGATGTGGGGCTGGCAGGTCCTGGTAGAGGTCTACCACAGAGGCTGCCCAGGTCCCAGGTGCAGCACAGCAACCTCAATTCCTGCAGTCACAGCCTCCAGCCCCAGCCTACTCTGCACCACAGCCTAGCACTGGGTCTGGGATGAACACAACAGAGAAAGGGACGAGACCATGGGCTGCTTCTGGGCGAAACCGTGGGCAACTACAGGTGCACAGGTTCACTGTGACTACACAGGCCTTATATGCTTCTGCGGTCACCTCCTTTGGGGCAGACCACACACTCAAGGGCAACTGAACCTAACTGCACCCAACCATTAGGGCTTCTTCAACAACTGGGGAGCAGACACTGCCCCCAACAGGGTGGTGACAGCCATGGAGCAAAGAGGAGGCCCTGCTCCTCATCTAGCACAGGTTCTGCACACCACAACACCTATTACAACCCCTATCAATGGGATAACAGCCAGCACACTCTGAAGAAAGAAGTGGCTGGCATCTATACCAAAACAAGCCCTTGCACCAAAATAACAGACTCACACAGTCTACACAGGGAAACACCCCTTCAAGATCAAAGTAGATAATGGTTTCTCCTAAATTCACGGAGACAGAGAAAGTTAAAAAACAGAGGAACTACTCCCAATAAAAAGAACAAGAGAAATCTCCTGAAAGAACAAATAATGAAACAGACCTCACCAGTCTATTAGACCCTGAGTCCAAAAATGAGGTAATAAAAATGCTTATTTAAGAAAGATTATTGGGCTTCCCTGGTGGCACAGTGGTTAAGAATCTGCCTGCTAATGCAAGGGAAACGGGTTTGATCCCTGGTCTGGGAAGATCCCACATGCTGTGGAGCAACTAAGCCCATGTGCCACAACTACTGAGCCTGCGTGATACAACTGCTGAAGCCCATGTGCCTAGAGCCCATGCTCTGCAAAAGAGAAGCCACCACAATGAGAAGCCCACATGCTGCAACGAAGAGTAGGCCCCGCTCACCACAAATAGAGAAAGCCCACATGCAGCAACAAAGACCCAATGCAGCCAAAAATAAAGTTAAAAAAAAGATTATTAATAAAATTCAGATTAATAAAATGAAATTTACTAAGATCATTAATAAAATAAATAATAAAAGTTTATTATTTATTAATAAAAGACTATTAATAAAATTCAGATCACTGTAACAAGGAACTATAAACTAAAAATGAACCAAACAGACAATTCAATTACTGAGATAAAAACCTATCTAGAAGCAATGAATAGCAGACTAAATGACACAGAAGGAATAAGTAATCTAGGAGACAGAATAATGGCAATCACCCAATCAGAACAGCAGACAGAAAGACAAATGAAAAAAAATGAAAGCAACATACGAGATCTATGGGATATGTAAAGTGTGCCAACCTATGCACAGAAGGAGAAAAGAGAAAAAAGGGTATCAAAAATGTATTTGAAGAAATTATGGCTGAAAACTTTCCAAACCTTAAGAAGGAAACATATATCCAGGTACAGGAAACACAGAGGGTCTCAAACAACATAAACACACACAAAGACATATCATAATTAAAATGGCAAAAGTTAAAGTGAGGATTCTAAAGGCAGCAGGAGAAAAACAAAGAGTCAGTTACAAGGGAATCCCATAAGGCTATCAGCTGATTTCTCTGCAGAAACTCTGCAGGCCAGAAGGGAGTGACATGATATATTCAAAGACCTGAAAGGGAAAAACCTGCAACCTAGGATACTCTACCCAGCAAGATTATCATTTAGGAGAGAAAGAATTTCTCAGACAAGCAAAAACTAAAGGAATTCAGCAATACTAAACCTATCCTAAAAGAAATACTGAAAGGTCTTCTCTAAATAGAAAAGAAGAACCTATAGAAAAAGAAAAACACAATAGGATAGGCAAATATATGAAAGGATTGAAAATTAAATAAGCAAGCACACAGATTTAAAAAACAATTAAAAAATTGTAAAAGTGATTATAACTAGAACAAACAGTAAAAGGGTAAGCATGAAGATGCAAAACAGGATATCAAAATCACAAAAAGTGGGGGAGGGGAGTATAAAAATGTAAATCTTTTAGAACGTGTTTGAACTTGCATGACTATCAATTTAAAGCAGATACAGTTATGGGTCAACATACTTGTAAACCAGGGTAGCCACAAATCAAAAACATACAATAGATTCAAAAAAACTAAAAAGAAAGAAACTCAAGCAAACTAAAAAAGAAAACCATCAAATCACAAAAGGAAAAACAAAAAGAAGAAATGAGCCAAAAAGAGCTACAAAAACAACTGGAAAACAAGGTTTTAAATGGCAACAAGTACATACCTATCAATAATTACTTTATGTGTCAATGGACTAAATGCTCTGATCAGAAGACACAGAGTGACAGACTGGATTTAAAAAAAAAAAACAAAACCTATAATATGCTGTGGACAAGAGACTCACTTTAGGGTGAAATACACACACAGCTTGAAAGTGAGGGGATGGAAAAAGATATTTCATGCAAATGGAAACCAGAAAATAGCAATACTCGTATCAGACAAAACAAACTTTTTAAAAAAGTCTACAAAGAGGGCTTCCCTGGTGGTGCAGTGGTTGAGAGTCCGCCTTCCGATGCAGGGGACACGGGTTCGTGCCCCGGTCCGGGAAGATCCCACATGCCCGCGGAGCGGCTGGGCCCGTGAGCCATGGCCGCTGAGCCTGTGCGTCCAGAGCCTGTGCTCCGCAACGGGAGAGGCCACAACAGTGAGAGGTCCGCGTACAGCAAAAAAAAAAAAAGTCTACAAAGAAAGACAAAGATGGACACTTTATAAGGATGAAAGGGATCAATACAAAAAACCTGATATTACACTGTAACATATATGCACCCAATATAAGAGCACTTAAATATATAAAACAAATACATAACAGACATAAAGGGAGAAACTGACAGAAATACAATAACGGTAGGAGACTTTAACACCCCACTGATATCAATAGACAAATATTACAGACAGAAAATCAATAAAGCAACAGAGGTCCTAAATGACACAACAGACCGGTTGGACTTAATTGATGTTTACAGGACACTACATCCAAAAAAACCAAAATAAACATTCTTCTCAAGTGCACATGGAACACTCTCTAGGATAAAACACATAGTAGGACACAAAACAAGCCTCAACAAATTTAAGAGGACAGAATTTACCTCAAGCATCTTTTCTGACTACATGAAACTAGAAATTAACCACAGAAAGAAAATTGGGAAAAGAATGAACACATGGAGGCTAAACAATATGCTACTAAAAAACCAATGGGTCAACAATGAAATCAAAGAGGAAATCAGAAAATACCCTGAGACAGATGAAAATAAAAACACAACCTTACAAAATCCATAGGATGCAGCAAAAGCAGTTCTATGAGGGAAGTTCACAGTGATACGGGACTTCTTCAAGAAACAAGAAAAATCTCAAATAAACAACCTAACCTACCAACTGAAAGAATTTTAGAAAAAGAAGAATGCACAAAATCCAAAGTCAGCAAAGTCAGCAGAAGGAAAGAAATAATAAAGATCAGAGAGGAAATAGAAGAGAGATCCAAATAAACAAGAGAAAAGATCAATAAAGGCAAGAGCTGCATTTTTGAAAAGATAAACAAAATTGACAAACCTCTAGGCAGGTTCATCAAGAAAAAAAAGAGAGAGAACCCAAATAAACAAATTAAGAAATGAAAGAGAAGAAATAACAACTGATACCACCACAAATAAGAAAAAAAAATCCTAAGAGAATCCTATGAACAGTTATATGCCAACAAACTGAACAACCTAGAAGAAATGGACAAATTTTAGAAACATACAGCCTGCCAAAACTGAGTCAAGAAGAAATAGGTAACTTGAACAGACCAACCTCTAGATGTGAAACAGAATCTGTAATTAAAAAAACTGCAAACAATAACCCAGGACTGGACGGCTTCACTGGGGGATTCTACCAAACATAAAAAGAAGAACTTATACCTATCCTCCTCAAACTATTCCAAAAGACTGAGGAGGAGGGAACACTCCCAAATTCATTCTATGAAGCAACCGTCACTGTAATACCAAAACCAGACAAAGACACTACAAAAAAAGAAAATTACAGGCCAACATCTTTGATGAACACAGATGCAAAAATCATCAACAAAATACTAGAAAACCGAATCCAACAATACATACAAAGATCAAAAACCAAGATCAAGTTGAATTAATTCCAGGGTTGCAAGAATGGTTCAACATATGCAAATCAATCAACGTGACACACCACATTAACAAAAGGAAAGACAAAAACCACATGGTCATCTCAACAGATGCAGAAAAAGCATTCCACAACATTCAACATCCATTCATGATAAAAACTCTCAACAAAGTGGGTATAGAGGGAAAATATCTCTGTAATAAAAGCCATTTAAGACAAATCCACAGGCAACATAATACTCAGTGGTGAAAAGCTGAAAGCCATCCCACTAAATTCTGGAATAAGATAAGGATGCCCACTCTCACCATTTCTATTCAACATAGTATTGGCAGTCCTAGCCACAGCAATGAGACAAGAAATAAAAAGTATCCAAACCAGAAGGGAAGAGGCAAAATTGTATTTATACGCAGATGACATGATACTCCATATAGGAAACCCTAAAGACTCCACACAAAACTATTAGAGGTTTACCTCCTCCCACAAATACATCAAAAACACAAAGACAAGTGGAATGATTCACACAGAACATCTAGTGAATGCTGGCAGAATGGGCAAGAAAACTTCCACATAACCGAGTTAAGACAAAAGAATAAAGGAAAAAAAAGAGAGAGAAAGGAATCCAATGGGACCTGAGCCCCAGGGAGGGAGCTGTGAAGGAGGAAAGCATCAAACAAAATACAAGGGAATCCCCATAAGGTTAACAGCTGAGTTTTCAGCAGTAACTATTCAGGCAAGAAGGAAGTGGCACGATATATTTAAAGAGATGAAAGGGAAAAACCTAGAACAAAAAATAATGTATCCAGTAAGGCTCTCGTTCAGATTCGATGGAGAAATCAAAACCTTTACAGACAAGCAAAAGCTAAGAGAATTCAGCACCACCAAACTAGCTTTACAATAAATGGTAAAGGAACTTCTCTAGGCAGAAAAGGTCACAACTAGGAACTAGAAAATTATGAATGAGAAAGCTCACTGGTAAAGGCAAACATACAGTTAAGGTTGGAAATCATCTACACACAAATATGATAGGAAAACCAGAAATTGTGAGCAAAGCAGAGTACAAATGGAGGATATTGGAAATGGTTTGGAAATTAAGAGACCAGTAACTTAAAACAATCTCATATATATATGGCCTGCTACATCAAAACCTCATGGGAACTGCAAACCGAAAATCTGCAATAGATACACACACAAAAAAAGAAAAAGCAATCCAAACACAACAGAAAAGATAGTCATCAAATCACAAGAGAACAAAAGAGGAAGGGAAGAAAAAAAAACCTACAAAAACAAACCCAAAACAACTAACAAAATGGCAATAAGAACATACATATCGATAATTACCTTAAATGTAAATAGATTAAATGGCCCAACCAAAAGACGGAGACTGGCTGAATGGATACAAAGACAAGACCCATATATACGCAGTCTACAAGAGACACATTTCAGATCTAGGGACTTATACAGACTGAAAGTGAGGGGATGGAAAAAGGTATTCCATGCAAATGGAAATCAAAAGAAAGCTGGAGCAACAATACTCAAATCAGACAAAACAGACTTTACAGGCTGTTATGAGAGACAAAGAAGGA